ACTAAATCTCATTTGATCATGGTGTATGATTTTTTTAATGTATTGCTGAATGTGGTTTGCTAATATTTTGTTGAGGATTTTAGCACCCATGTTTATCAGGAATACTGACCTATAATTTACTTTCTTTATAGCGTCCTTTTCTGGTTTTGGAATTAGGATAATGCTGGCCTCCTAAAATGAGTTTGCAAGTCTTCGCTCCATTTGAATTTTTAGGAATAGCTTAAGAAGGGTAGGTGTTAATTCTTCTTTGAATATTTGGTAAAATTCACCTGTAAAGTCATCTGGTCAAGGACTGTTGGGAATTTTTTTATTATTATTACTGCTTCAATTTCACTAGTTGTATTCGGTCTGTTTAGATTTTCTGATTCTTTCTGATTCGGTTTTGGAAGATTGTATGTTTCTAGGAATTTATCCATTTCATCCAGACTGTCCATTGTTTGCATGTAGCTGTTCGTAATATTTTCTTACAGTCTTTTGTATTTCTGTGTAGTTAGTTGTTGCTTCTCCTCTTTCATTTCTGATTTTATTTATTTTTGCATTCTCTGTTTTTTTCTTCATGAGTCTGGTTAAAAGTTTGCTAGTCTTGTTTATCTTTTCAAACAACCAGCTCTTGGGTTAAATGATCTCTTGTACTATTTTCTGAGACTCTATTTCACTTATTTCTGCTCTAATCTTTACAATTTCCTTTCTTCTACTTATTTTGGGCTTTGTTTGTTCTTTTTCTTGTTCCTTTAGATTGTTTATTTGGTATTTTTCATTTTTGTCTTTTTTTAAATACTCACCTGGGGATATTTTCTCCATTGCTTTTCAGAGACAGTGGGAGGGAGGGAGGGGAACAGAGAGAGAAAGAGACATCGAAGTGAGAGATACACATCAATTGGTTGCCTCCTGCACGCACCCTGACCAGGCCTGGGGATCGAGCCTGCAACCCAGGTACATGCCCTTGACTGGAACAGAACCTAGGATTGTTCAGTCCGAAGGCCGACACTCTAACCACTGAGCAAAACAGGCTAGGGCTATTTGGTATTTTTCTTATTTCTTGAGGTAGGCCTGGAATGCTATAAATTTCCCTCTTAGGACTACTTTAGCTCTGTCTCATAGATTTGGGGTTGTTGTTTTCTCATTTTCATTTGTTTTAAGATATATTTTTTTGTGGATCTCATTGTTAACTCATTAATTGTTTAGAAACATGTTATTTAGCCTCTGTGTCTTTATGCGTTATTCTGTTTTTCTTGTGATTGATTTCTAGTTTTATGCCATTATGTTCAGAGAAGATGCTTGATATGATTTTAATCTTTTTTATACTTATTGAGACTTGTTTTGTGTCCTAGCATATTTTGTGACTTTTTTGACCTGATTCTTTCATGCTGGCTTTTATTGACTTCAATGGCATCAATGTTGGTAGACTGCAAACAGACACGATAGGAATAATTACACTATGAAAACTGGCATGTGGTACAAAGCAAGGGTTTCTAAAAGAGAGAGAGAGCTTTATAGAAGGACATGTAACAGCACACCACAGGGTTTATAATAAGGAGATAGTTTTACAATGAATCCTACCTTAACATTGCATCTATATTTTAAAAATAATTTCAAAATACAAAGCTAAAACATCCTTAGTGCCAGCTGGAACAATGCCCAAGAAAAAAGAGTCCAGGGCATCACTGGAATCAGGAACACTGTCCCCTAGGACTCCAGTCTCTCTGGCCTATGGACACACGCTTCCCCAAAGGGAAGTAAGAAATTAGCCAGAGGCTTGGGGACTTTGTTTCAGTCTCTCATTAGTTATTAAGTTATTGGACTCATTTCTTTGGAGCTGGTTAAGGAAAATGAAAGCCTGTAGAAGTGCCAAGGCCACAGATATTTCTTCTGTGTCTGGAAATTAAATCTCTTGAAGAAAACCTGAAGAGATGGGCAAGAGTCTGGAGCAGAAGGTGTCTGAGCTCACAAATGACCAGCACAGGTGAGAGGAGCTGGAAATCTGCACTTGGTGCTGAATTTCCCTGTGTGCTAGTGGGTTCAGATATAAGACTGTGTTCATGACTCTGTGAATGTGCGTGTGTGTGCGCGTGCACTATTTACCTGACTCACAGCCCTGTTTTAGTGCATGTAGACCAAGTTATCAACCTCCTGGCGTGTGGTTAGGGACTCCTGATTTATGCCTGTGATCGTGTACACTGGCATCACAGTTAGGCATCGGGAGTGAGATGTTGTCTCTGCTGCTGGACAAGAAGATGCCCGACCTCACAAGGAACCAAGGCAAGGTCAGAGAGGGCTCAGACTACGGCTCAGCAGCATGTGCTGGTGCATCTGTGAGCTGTGTCTGTGGGTGACACACTCATGTGTGAGAGCAGAAAGGTGTGTTGTTTGGTTTTCTCTGTGTGTATGTTACCATGTGTGTGTGAGCATGTGCCTGGGGTGTTGGTGCTGGTGTAATGACTGTGCCTGTGACTGAATAGGCTTAACTGCCCCATTCTGACTGCATCTCCCAGGAAGAAGGGGGGAAGCTTGCTTCTCAGTAATAGGAGTGTGTGCTGCTTGTTGTAGTGAGTGTGTGGCTGGATGTGCATATGTGTTATTAGTGTGTGTTTCTTATAAGATTTTTGAATTGTTTGTGGTCTTGTAGTTTTGGTGATATGTGTGTGTAGTGTTTGAGTTAAGTAGTGAGTTGAGTATTTACCAGGTGTGTCACTAGTCATTGTGTTAATGTGCAGTGTGTGTGTTTCGGTGAGTGGGGATCACTGTGTATTGTAAATGTCTCACTTTGTGTGTTACTTATGACTTGTATGTATTTGAGCATTTCTGAACTGAACCACGTATTGGCTATCCTCCCCTTAGGATGGGAACGTGGTCACAGGTGACTAGAATCCTCAAATCAACACTGTGTGTGTGTGTGTGTGTGTGTGTGAGAGAGAGAGAAATGCATCCATGACTCAAGTATGTCCTTAAGTGTTCTCATTCTTGGGCATCATTAGCATAGATAACCATACTCTCAGCAACTCCCTGTTTCTAGAAACAAATCTGCTCTCATTGCCATGTGCCTGAATGTGAGTCTCTCAGAATTTCTAAACTTTTCTTTAATATTATTATATATCTCAGGGAAAGATAAATGCTCCAGGCATCATGCTATGTGAAGTTACTGAGCAGAATCACCATCATACAGCAATGAGAACTTGGGAATGTTACTTAAATTTTTGGCCTCAGAATGTTACTTAAATTTTTGGCCTCAGTAGCCACATCTGTAAAATGGAAACAATTACACTTGTTTTGAGAATCTTACAAAGGCTCTTAGTAAGTGATTACTGTGTAAACAAAGTTACTGTATTTAAAATTTATAGTCAGCTGGAAAGTACATATATATAAAGAAATGAAATTATCTAGTAAGAGGACTAAGAAATCTGAAAAACTGGGTCCTCACAGCTCTGAGATAATATATTGTGCTTGGCTCACCTAACCAACAAGAGGGAAGTTTCCAGGTGTAATGGTTAAGAGCATGGGTTCTGATCACACAGACATATTAGAATGAACCCCATGAAGGAGCTAATACTTGGTGATTTTTAATTTATAGAAAATGATAATACATATAAATAGCTATGTACATCACATATCACATTATAGATACAGATATACACACTTGTGTTTGCCCCCTTCTGTCCCTACTGTACTGTGTGTGCCTACAAAATTTGTGTCATTTATGTTTATATTTCTTAAAAGCTAAAATAGGTGAAAGAACACATCTCTTAGTGCAGCTGTGAAGAGGTCTTACGAATTGGGAATGTAACGCAGATGTGTAGATATGATTAGGAAACATAGGGAAAGTCCTTAGCAAAGAACCCAAAGGTTGACTTAAATGTTCAGGATTATTATGAAAGATAGTTTGTGAACTATTCTGGTTTTGGAGCTATTCTCACATCAAGTGGCTTTAAATGGCCACTCATTTCTAGAGTGTCCCTGAGTTTACAGCTATGGGTCAATGGGACCCGGCAGGTTCACAGGAGGAGTATGACAACGCTCCAACAACTTGGCATTGGAATCCCATGTTACTTTAAGGCAGGAAAAACTAATACTAGTTTGTAGGGCTCATCTTCTATCTGCCACAGGGAATTACTATGGTTTGGCTCTGGCCTGGTGTAGAAATTATCCCTCCAGGCTCATTAAGATCTAATCTCATAGAAGTGGGGACTTTGCTTTCCTTGTCACTGCTGCTTCTCAGTCCTTTGTTGTGGTCCTGATGCAGACTCAATGTACAAAAATAATTGCCTTAGCGGGTTTGGCCCAATAGTTAGAGCCTCTCCGCCCATGGACTGAAGGGTGTTGGGTTCCATTCCAGTCAAGGACAGGTACCTCGGTTGCAAGCTCCTTCCCCGGCCCTGGTCCAGCACGAATGGGAGGCAACCAATAGATGTGCCTCTCTCACATCCATGTTTCTCTCTTTATCACTCTCTCTCCCTTCCATTCTCTTTAAAAAGCAATGAGCCCGACCAGGCATGGCTCAGCGGTTGAGCATCAACCTAGGATCCAGGGGATCTGGGTTCAATTCCTAATCAGGGCACATGCCGGGTTGCAGGCTAGGCAGCCGATCAATGACTCTCTCATCATTGATGTTTCTATCTCTCCCTCCCCCCCTCCTTTCCTCTCTCTGAAATCAATAAAGATATAGTTAAAAAAAAAAAAGCAATGAAAAAATAGCTTTCGGTGAGGATTAAAATAATAATAATGATTGATAGTAATAATAATAATGGTCATTGACACAGCAAACACCCTAATGCTTCTGTCCAATGAGGTCCTGTTGGCTGCTTTAGGGGTGCAATGATTGCTGGAATCAGACAGGAATAGATGGAAGGTGCACAACTCCACAGGTGTGAGAAATTAATAGGAGTGTAGTTAACATTCATGTTTTCCCTGAAGAATTACAGTGTGAGATGTGATGGTCCTAATTGTCCTTTCTAGGTTCCTGAGACCCCCAAATCTTCTTCATCCCCCACAGACAGAAGAGCAGCATGAGGCCTGAGAACCAGAGCAGCGTGTCCGAGTTCCTCCTCCTGGGGCTCCCCATCCAGCCAGGGCAGCAGGGCGTGTTCTTCACCCTGTTCCTGGGCATGTACCTGACCACGGTGCTGGGCAACCTGCTCATCATCCTGCTCATCAGGCTGGACTCTCGCCTGCACACGCCCATGTACTTCTTCCTCAGCCACCTGGCCTTCTCTGACATTTCTGTCTCCTCCGTCACTGTCCCAAAGATGCTCAGGAACATGCAGACTCAGCAACAATCCATCTCCTATGTGGGATGCATTGCTCAGCTGTACTTTTTCATACTTTTCAGTGGTCTTGACAATTTCCTTCTGGCAGTGATGGCATATGACAGGTATGTGGCCATCTGTCACCCTCTGCACTACACCACCATCATGACAAAGGAGCTGTGCACACTGCTGGTGGCTGGCTCTTGGGTTCTCTCCTATGGCAGTGCCCTGTTGCACACCCTCCTCTTGGTCGGACTGTCCTTCTGTGCTGACAATACCATCACCCACTTCTTCTGTGACCTCGCTGCCCTCCTGAAGCTGAGCTGCTCTGACATCTCCCTCAATACGCTGGTCATCTTCACCGAGGGAGGAATGCTTTCCTTCCTGCCTTTGGCTATTGTTTTGGGCTCATATATCCGCATAGGGGCCATCATCCTGAGGGTCCCCTCCACTAAGAGACTCTTTAAAGCCTTTTCCACCTGTGGCTCCCACCTCTTTGTGGTGTCTTTATACTACGGGACACTTGCAGGTGTTTATTTTTTCTCCTCTTCCTGGGATTCCAAGGACATAGCTGCTTCGCTCATGTATGCGGTAGTCACCCCCATGCTGAACCCCTTCATCTACAGCCTGAGGAACAGAGATATGAAACAGGCTCTAGAACTGTGTGTCCATAGGGTTAAGTTCTTTAAGCGGCAACCACTAAATCCTCTTGTTGCAGTCAGGAGNCAGGCCTTAGAACTGTGTGTCCATAGGGTTAAGTTCTTTAAGCGGCAACCACTAAATCCTGTTGTTGCAGTCAGGAGCACGGTGAGATAATTTCCTAAAGTTATTGCATGGTTGGCAGCTCCATTTAACTTTCACAGAATATGCGTTCTGTCGTCATCTATAAGTGTTGTTAATATGTCAATATGGTCAAGTTTGCTACTTGGATTGTTAATAATTCTTTATTCCCAATTAATATTTTTCACTTGTTCATCATCTCTTATAAGTTATATGCAAAGTCTTATGCAAAACGCGATCCAGAATTGTAGCAGTGAGTGAGTCCTTCTCTCCTCTGAGACATGCCAGCTGCTGCCTATGTATTTTTAGACGATGTTATTGGGGACACACTGATTTAGCATCATGATCTGTTCCTGGGGAACTTTCTTTTTTTTGAACTGATTTTTTTATGCTGGCTCATACTGGCCTCCAGCCCATTATGTGCACCTCTTCCCTACTCACAACCAATGACATCATGCTGGCAGACTGCAATCAGCCATGATAATAATTGCACTATGAAAATTGGCATGTGCTATACAAAGCAAGGTTTTGTAAAAAGAGAGACTCTTTAAAAATGCATTAAACAGCACACAACTCACATGGGTCCTACCTTAACACCTCATCTTCTTCTTTAGTATAAATACTTTATAGCTAAATCTATAGATATAAATACATATACAGATATAGGTATATAAGTATAGATAAACATACAGACAGGGATATTGATACTAGTATAGTATAGGTAGTAAAGATACCCCCTTTCTTGTGGTTAGTGTTTACATGGTATTTTTTCTATCACTTTAAACTTTTCTATGTCTTTATATCTGTGAGGTGTCCATTGGCAACAGTGTAAAGTTCAAGTTTGCTCTTTTTATGTAGAGCAACCATTATTATATTTCTGGAGAACTTTATCTATTGACATCTAATGTAATCATAATATATCTAAATTTGTATTTTGCACACTACTATGTTTTTTATTTGATACATCTATTTCACATATAGTCGCTGTCTTCCTCCCTTTTGATTAATTAAATATATATATTTCATTCCATTGCCCCTTTATTTACTCACTGATCATAGGTTATTATTATTATTATTATTTATAATTCTTTTACATAGTGTATGTAGAGATTACTTCTTCCTATTTAATTTTTAAGTGTGGTTTAATATCCAAAACGTGGTATTTACCATTTTTGCCACTGGAGGTATATCATTCAGTAGCATTTAGGACACTCATCACCAATATCTCATTCTAGGGCCCCTAAAGAAAACTCTGTAGAACATCAATGCAACTGAGTGTATTGCAACTGTGAAAAAAAAATGACAAAGATATTTGTGAACCTCCCTACCTCACTTCAAATTATACTCCAGAGCTATGATAATCAAAACAACATGGTATTGGCACAGAAACAGACACACAGATCAGTGAAACAGAATAGAGAGCTCAGATATAAAACCACATGTTTATGGGCAGATATTTTTTGACAAAGGAGCCAGAAACACACAATGAAGTAAAGATAGTCTCTTCAATAAATGGTGTTGGGAAAACTAGAAAGCCGCATGCAAAGGAATGAAAATGGATTACAGTTTGTCCCCATGTACAAAAGTTAATTGAAAATGGATCAAACACCTAAACGTGAGACCTGAAATAGTAAGTTACATAGAAGAAAACATAGGTAGCAAACTTATGGACCTTGGTCGTAGAGAACATTTTATGAACTTGACCCCAAATGCAAGGGAAGTAAAGGCAAAAATAAATTACTAGGACTGTATCAAACTAAAAAATTTCTGCATAGCAAAAGAAACTGATAACAAAACAGTCAGCCAACCAGATGAGAGATGATATTTGTAAACAGTAGCTCCAACAAAGGTTTAGTTTCCAAAATATGTAAAAAACTCAACACCAAAGAAACAAACAACCCAATCAAAAAAAGTGGGCAGAGAACCTGAACACACCTCTCCCCAAAAGACATACAAATAGCCAATAGATATATAAGATGCTCGACCTCACTAGCAATTAGGGAAATACAAATCAAAACTACAATGAGATAGCACCTCACACCTGCTAGAGTGGCTATTATTAATAAGACAAGCAATAACAAGGTTTGGAGAGGTCGGGGAGAAAAGGGAACCCTCATTCGCTGCTGGTGGGAATGTAGATGGGTGCAGCCACTATAGAAAACAGTATGGAGGTTCCTCAAAAAATTAAGAATAGAGCTACCATACCACCCAGCAATTCCTCTCCTGGGTATACACCTGAAAAATTTGAAAACATTTATTTGTAAAGATAAATGCACTCCTATGTTCATTGCAGCATTATTCACAGTGGCCAAGATTTGGAGACAACCAAACTGTCCTTCAATAGATGACTGAATAAAGATGTGATACGTGTACACAATGGAATACTACTCAGCCATAAGAAAGAATGAAATACTGCCATTCCTAACAACATGGATGGACCTGGAGACTATCATGCTAAGTGAAATAAGTCAGAAAAAGCTAAGAACCATATGATTTCACTCATATGTGGGATATAAAACTGAAATTCCTGGACACAAACAGCAGTGTGGTGGCTGCCAGAGGGAAGGAGGTGGGGGGATGGGAGGTAAAGGGGGTCTTAATATATGGTGAAGGGAGAAGATACGATTTTGGGCAGTGGGCACACAGAGCAATATCCAGATCTTGTAACATAGAAAACCACACCTCAAACCTATATGTTCATATTAACCATTGTTGCCCCCCAAAATTTAATAAAGTGTTATAAAAAAAAGATATTTGTGAATCAATATGGAGAAATATTAGAACATAATGTTTAAAAAAAATACTGTATAAAAGAGAATTTATAGCATGCTAAGTTTTATTTGAAAAGGGGAAATAAATTATTCATATCTCTGTCCATTTGACCATAATTAAACACAGGAAGTAGTTAAGATCTGGAAACAGCCCAAGTGCCCATCTGTAAATGAGTGAATAAAAAACTGTTGTACATTTACACAGTGGAATACTACTCAGTCATAAAAAAGAAAATCTTACCTTTTGAGACACTATGGAAAGACCTGGAAATTATTATGCTAAGTGAAAGAAGCCAGAGACAAATACCATATTATCTCATTTATATGTGGAATCTAATGAACAGAGTAATTTAAAAAACAAAACAGAAACAGAAGCATAGATACATAGAGTAGACTGACAGCTGTCAGAGGGGAGGGGGTAAGAAGGACTGGGTGAAAAATGGTGAAGGAATACAGCAAGGAAAAATATATGTATGACACACAGATATGGACAACAGTATGGTGACTGCCAGAGGGAAAGTAGGTTGGGGAGAGATAGAAGTGAACAAAGGGGGTACCAATGACTTTGGGTGTGAACACAAGGTGCAGTATGCAGATGATATTTTATTGACTTGTACATTTGAAAATTATATGGTTTTATTAACCAATGTCACCCAAAAAATTTCAATAAAAAAGAAACTAATGAGATTGTTTACCTACAGGAGGACGGCAGAAGAGATGGGGAGGTGAGTATAATTAGTTGTATAATTTTGACTATTCTGTCTTTTGCCACTAAAAAATAGAAGAGGTGGTGAGTAAAGCAAAATAGAAGAAAACAAATCCAATGAACCCAACTTTATTTCAAATGAGCACCATAATTAGACTAAAGGAGAAAATACAGTAAGTAACCTAAGTAATTCTTGAACCCAGAATTATGTCTAAATCTCTCACAATAAAAAGAAATACACTGGGAAAAAAGTGTTAAACTGTAGTTAGTGTGTCATGACAGTGGTATAAGTTCAAGATTCTGAAACAACTCACCATGTAACCAAAGATTCAGCAAATATGTGAACATTGAGGAAAAGGGAGTGTCTCCTCAATCTCGGGAAAAGAGCTAAGGACACAGGAAAGGAGAGGCTGGAAAGGGCTCTGTGATGTCAAACTAGAACTAGAGATATCAATTCAAACTCATGGGTTTTAAAATGTATAAATAGATTGCAATTTATAGTCATATATCAACAACATCTATACTGTTCCCATCCCCCAATCTTCTTGTACAGATCCTGACACACACGCTGTGGGCCAACATTCCTTTAGTTTCTTAGTTTCTAGTTTTTCTTTCTTGTTTTTCTTTTATATATATTTCCTAGTTGGTGTCTCTGAGATCACCTAGCATCCCTGTCGGCAATAAACACACCCAAAGATTAAAAATAAATAACAATGATAAAGGATTATCACTCAGAGAATAAGTATCAATGAGTCCATCATGACATAAATGAATAAATAAAAAACTAATGAGTGGGGAACAGGAGTAAGTTCCTTCTTATAGGAGAATATAACTAATAAATGTAAAAGAAATGATAGAATTAGCAGAATCACGATTTGGCCTCCACATTTAAAATAATTTTCCCATAAAAGAATCACCAATGCATGTCTAATATAGTGAGTGAAATTTTAATAAAGGAAAAGTTATGTTTATATAGTATCAAAATATCCATCCAAATGATACCTATTAATTTCAAGGTTAAAATAGTAACTTTAAGCCGGCCGGGCGTGGCTCAGCGGTTGAGCATCGACCTAGGATCCAGGCGATCGGGGTTCGATTCCCGGTCAGGGCACATGCCCAGGTTGTGGGCTCGATCAATGACTCTCTCATCATTGACGTTTCTATCTCTCTCTCTCCCTCTCCTGTCCTCTCTCTGAAATCAATAAAGATATAATTTTTTTTAAAAAAATGGTAACTTTAAGAAAATACTAACTTTCCAGTAGGGAACTAGGCACATACCACCATAGCCAATTTCAGGGTGGGGCAAAAGTAGGTTATAGTTGTTTTTATAAAAAATCATACAATAATTAATAAATCATACAAGAATAAACTGCATTTGTGTACTTACAAGAGGAAACTTAGCTTTGTTTCACCCTGTATATAATTTTTACCGCTTTTGTGTATCTTTAAATTCATTTCAAAATAAAAAGTTGAAAAAACCCTTTTCCCAGCTGGAACAATGCCCAAGAAAAAGGAGTCCAGGGCATCACTGGAATCAGGGACAGTGTCCTCTTGGACTT